TGCCATGACACAGAATTATAAGCCTGCATCAATGCTTTGATTTAAGCATCTTCTGTCGTACTATTTCAGATAATGGAAGGACAAGCATAGGTTTATCTTCTTCCCTATCAAACCTCAAAGAGACTATATTGTCAAAATTGTGTACAGATCAAAGCAGTAGTGCTATCTTCAACTGACATAAAGGCAAGGTTTTTCAGCTTCCTGAAATGTATCACGATGACATCTGTTGTAAGGGAACATGCACCGGATACAACTCTGCACCATGGATGAACTTCTGCATCTTTATTTGATAAAAGATGGAAAATAAATGTCAACATGATAAATGACTTCAGTGATTTCTATTCTCAGTTAAAAAATCATTTTTCAGTTAAAATGTTCGAATCAGTTTTCTTGTCAATGATTTATTTTAATAGATAGGAGGATTTGAGTTAAAAGATTAAAAAAAGAAGCAGATGAACTACGCATCAAACTGCTTAACATTTACTGGCTGTTTAACGTTTTTCATTTGACATGTGAGGGTGTTCAGTGTGGCATGACTTTAAGGAACAAAGCTATGAAATATACCAATATACAACAAATGTTGAAACAAGTTACTGGGCATACTATAATTATACTTACTGTAATTGGCTTTACATAGTGGTGCTGACAATGGGACAAAATTACATTTTTGATATGGCTGTCATGGCGACCATGTTGTAAAATCAAAATGGAATTCTTTGAGAATTGTTTTTGGGTATCATATGCAAACTTCCGATTTCAGAGATGTGGAAAATTTACAAGATACCGGTAATGATTGGGGACAGATGAACATGTTATGGTAATGCTTACATGACATTTGTTGATAAATATTACATTTACACTTGAGCCGAAGTGAAGTGGTACTTGTCAGCTGTAGGACTGGTGGTTTCTAGGTATTTTCTGAAGATTTTATGCTTCTGTATTTCTGTATTCAATACAGTCAGTCCTTCTTATCTCAAGATCTGTTATCTCAAATGTACTAATATTTCAAACCTATTATCTGGTCCTGATTATTCCACTATACACATAAATCTAATCACTTATCTCCATTTCGAGATAAATATACTTTGTGTTATCTCAAACATTGACTTGGGCCAAATTTTGAGTTTTTAATTTTTGGGTACCTTTATCATGTTGGTATTTGCCACATTAACAGTGTTGAGAAGCACAAATACCGGTAAGCACAACGCATGAGATAACTCTGGTACCTCTCCTTATATGGTCATCAAGCACTGCTGTGAACTGCATCCTGAACCAAATGTTTAATTCTGTACTGACTATTAAATCTATCTGTAATAAATACAACAATGTAGAGATTAATATTGATTATAATGCTATAATGAAATCTGATCTTGGTCATCCATTTTCCTCTATTAATGTCAGGTTCCTCATTAAGGTGAGAATTTATGGAAGTAAGCTTCTATATTTTGAGGGATGTCACGTTTCGGAGTGTATTCTTACTTCTTCATCAGGTTGCTCAAAATAAAGAAGCTGACATCCATCAATTCTCACTTTCATGTGTATCACTTCTAAATGCTGTTCAAAGACACCAGGTTCTCTGTTCAGAAGGTTCAAAAAGCCCATAGCTGCTGTACAGATGAAATATACCTTTAGATCCCGGTACCCAATTAGACAGAAATTCAGAAACAGATTGTGTTTGACTTACTGGAAACAAATACAGAAGAAACACATATTGCCACAGAATGATCCATCATTCAAGATTTCATTCAAAGAAAAACTAAATTAAATTTCACCAGTCATGCATGATTAGATTATAAATACATTAAAGTGGTGACAGGGTACATTGAATCTGACATTCATTTAAGTAATTGTTTGTGTAAATGTTTTTCCTAACATTATTTCAATATTTCCTCCTATTTCAGCACGCTACTGATGTATAAACATTGAAATCAGCGACACACGCCTGCCTCAGATGTATTTTCATTCCCGGAATAACCTCTCGTAACAGTCTACTTTTAAAGAGAATTTGATAGTGTAATCTTTGCATCAAATTTCAAAACTGTGAACTCTGAAATTTAGGCATTGTGACAAAAACCATACCATCTGGGATGCATTTCCGGTGACTTTGTTACAAAAACTAACAAACGCTTGCGAGGGGAGACAAATTAGAGCATGAGGTTGGATAGTTTGTTTTCTGTTTACAACATGATAAGGAATATGTAAGGAATTATATAAGTTTGTTTACATAGCTGTTGTTCAAGAATGTGTACATAGCTAAGATTCATTAACTGCTCTGTATAAATCTTCTTAAAGCTTAAAACATGCTGAATATTCTCATATATGCATTACTGACATTGACAGTAAGCCTTTTGAGACACTGTTTATGACAAAGTTGAAGCAATTTGAGATTATCAAACATTCTGAAACTCTGGCATTGTGTCTATTTTAAAACTAAAAAAGAATCCATTTATGTAAAGTTATAAGTAATGAGCTGCAACACTATAGTTCTGCTATCAACACCTACTTTCTATAAAACATCAATAAACAAATGTTATTGCTTTTGTCAATAATGGTTTACGTTATATTACTGTAAATTAAAGAATTGGCTTCCTTAATTATATATTCAAAAAGAAAACCAATGCACAAACTGATTAATTATTAATTAATTGAACTGGATACTTGTCTTAATCTTAAGCTCAATTTAAAAAAACACACACAGGCTTCAAAACTAGGTTTCAGCTGTGCAATGGTACAGAGGCATTAAATATGCACCAACAATGGATAAGCCTGTTAAAATAGTTAATAACTGCCTGAACTTTAAAGTCTTGACTAGTACATGACATATTATAATGTTGAGGGGTATCAGTAAATACTTGTGAACTTTCAGTGGGTAATTGCTTTCATGACTCAAAACAATTCCAAATCACTGAGAAAATACCAGGTGCTTGTTTTGGAGACCAAACCCATCTGTACCTTCTAGTGCATGAAACTATAACACATTAACTTATCTTATTTGTAATCCATCATAAGCGGTGGCACTTGATTGGTAAGTCAACACAACCTCCACTGTTTAGGTTACAGAACTGAATCACTCACTAAACATTTCCAAATGTTTGTATTCATTTCAGAATGCAACCTAAATAAACAATGTATTAAATGTCATTATGTACTCATCTCAACAACCGCGTTTAAAGGTTTTAACTTTTGTGCCTTGTGATAACTACAAGTAATTTTGTATTTTGAAGCACAAGCAGTGAGTTCATTTTGACACATTTCAGAACAAAATGTAACATAGCACAGTTGGATGATGAGAGCTGTAAGGCAACTCCATCAGGAAGAAGCTCACCTGATATGGAAGCGTATGGTTTTCAGGAGTGTTGCATGACAAGGTTTAAGTTGATAAAACTGTTTCATCTTAGTCATCATCCAACTAGATGAGGTCACCCATAGCCTTAGGTACCAGTACAGAAACCACCTATCACCAGCTGTCTATTTGCAGGCATGTGGCTTGGCGCCAATGGTTCATAAGGAAATGGCATTATCAGTTTTTTCCATATAGCCACTATATATACTTCTGCAAAGAAAAATGTTTATTTAGTATTCAGAGATCATGCCTCAGTTAAGTCGAATATTTAATCGAAATGCTCCAACACTTCCAGATAATATGGGTTTCTTCAGGATACAACCAGTCCATTTTACCATCAGATCTAAGGATGGTGGCAAAGTTGCAAGCACAGCTGTTATTTGATCCAAAGCTGCATCTTCCAGAATCTCAGATAATAGTTCAATCTATCCTTTAACAGCCAATAAAATATGTCTATAGATAGTCAAGACTTATTTTTCTCTTGTGATGACATTTTTTATTTAATCTACCTGGTATATATGTATACTTTGGTCTCATCAATTAGATATTGCTGATCTGATGTTAAACACTAACTTACTTACTTCCTCCCTCCCCCCCTCCCTCACTCAGATAATATCCCTGCTGGTTGGTTGGTTTACTAGGTGTTTATGAAAGTCGCCTTCCCCATGTGGGACCTATCCAGCCTCTGGATGCATGGGAGAAATTGTCTCTCCTTAGGACTCATGAGTACCAGGCCTACCAAAGAAAACTCTCCCACAGTGCAAAAAACACAGAAAAGCCCACATTAATCGTGGAAATAGCAACATAAGCATAATACCTCACTACTGAAACTGCAAAAATTGGGGTGTCCCTCCTTGGGACGCATGAAGGGAGGTGTCCCTCTTTGGGACCTCTATGGTCCCTGCTTACTCACCAAGGATATTTATAGACTCGCTGACTCACTCACACACTCACTAACTAACTCAGTCACTCAGGCATATACAAAATTTCATACAAAACAAATGGTTCCCTTTGTGGATGTATGTCCCTTAATTCCTGTTGTAAGTATGTGCACCTGGAGGGTGAAATGAGTTCAGAAGCGTATCTCCAAACAAATACACAATGGAAGATGATCTTGCTAGATGGTATTATAGCACACTCCCCATTAAAATCTTATTTTCAAATCTTCAAGTCTGAGCAGCTGTTTAAGTCATTGTTTATTTGGAAGAAGAATAAATGTTTCTTGAGACTTGTCTTCAATGGATTAACTTTTTAGCACAAAAGTCAACGTTGAATTGTTCAAAGAAGAGTTGCATGCACCGATAATAACTCTCTTCAACAAATGAAATGTTGACATATAAGTGAAAGAATATCAGATGTCTTGAGAAAAGATTATGTTCCATATGCAACTTGTCTTATATGATGAATGTTTTTACCACTAGTTGTTCTTTCTGACAAAAATTATTTCCATGGGATGAATATACATGTATGTGTAGTCGCTTTTCGTCAGATAAGGGCATGTTGACTGACTGGTTAATGAGTGAACACATCATTTCTTACATCCGCTGGTATTTAAGAGTGTGGATAATTTCGTACTATCATCATCAACTTGTGTTGTTGCTAGCTAGTTTATTACCCTTAAATATGGATGTAAATTTTTATCAAAATGTAAACTTACCAAACATCCTGCAGTTCCAGATGGTGCCTCGCTAATCTGTGCAATTCCAGCTGCCTTCTTTTTCCGTTTGTCGGAAAACTTTTCATATTTGTGCATTTCCTTTTCTGTGAGACTATTACAAAACCTTGGGTCAAGGTCATGCAAGGGCAACTGTCGCTGAAGTTGTTTTCTGCGGAGTTGTGACGCAAATTCCTGTTTGTCTTGTGGTAGCATAGAGATGTATTTTTGAGATCTCTGAAATTACAAAAAAAACCCATAGTTTAGAATAACATAACTTCCATGTCATAAAATATTATCGCATGCATATATCGGCAATGACAGCAGATTGAAAAGAGCCATGTTCGTTCATGTGAAGAACGTAACTACCTCTATCTTCAGATCTCACTCTGCTGTTGGGTCTCAGACATTTAAATTAAACTCTCACATCATACATTCATTTATTTTATTTGTTTACACGTCAACACTACTCCATAATGTTTTACATCCAATAACTTGGTTGTGCCTTTTTCTGTCATGCAATACATCTTGTTTCTTTCTCAAGAAGAGACATTATGTATAGAATACCAGACTTACGATTTTGCATAAAAACATTTTACCCATGCAAGGATACGTCTTAAAAAATTATCAATGCATTTTGCAACATACAGCAATTGTGTAAGTTTAAATACATATGTTTATGCAGGGAATATCAGACACACCATAGCACCAAAGCATTTTGAATGCATGGATGTTAGAATAATTACCTCCCTTACCTACTTCAGGATCTAGGTTTTGGACCACACTTATTCATAATGTTGAAATGTTTAATTCAAAACCTTGCTTAAGAACAATAGGTAAGTACTTTATACATCAAAGCAATGAGATGTGATGACAATAAAGATTGATGTTTATATATATATCTTTGTGATTACCCCTCAATTCTCTTCAAGACCTCAGCTATATATTTAGTGGAACAGCTTTGAAAATATGATAAAAAGCTTTGAAAATATTATCTAGTCTATATTTAGATGCAAAACGTCTCAAACTTTTGCCAGGGCATACGCAGTTACTCAAGTTTTTGTAAATGAAATAATGTTCACAACAATCACAGTCACATCATCACATGTGTGAAGCACCATTTTCCAGGATATGATGTAAAACAGTCTGCAATAACACAACTTGACAAGTGGAACATCATAATATGCACTATGTAATAGTTGGAGTCTGATAAACATAATATGCTACATATAAGTTGGAGTTTGATGAACATAATATGCTATATATAAGTTGGAGTTTGATCAACATAATATGCACTATGTAATAGTTGGAGTCTGATAAACATAATATGCTATATATAAGTTGGAGTTTGATGAACATAATATGCTATATATAAGTTGGAGTTTGATGAACATAATATGCTATATATAAGTTGGAGTTTGATGAACATAATATGCACTATGTAATAGTTGGAGTCTGATAAACATAATATGCTATATATAAGTTGGAGTTTGATGAACATAATATGCACTATGTAATAGTTGGAGTCTGATAAACATAATATGCTATATATAAGTTGGAGTTTGATGAACATAATATGCACTATGTAATAGTTGGAGTCTGATAAACATAATATGCTATATATAAGTTGCAGTTTGATGAACATAATATGCACTATGTAATAGTTGGAGTCTGATAAACATAATATGCTATATATAAGTTGGAGTTTGATGAACATAATATGCACTATGTAATAGTTGGAGTCTGATAAACATAATATGCTATATATAAGTTGCAGTTTGATGAACATAATATGCACTATGTAATAGTTGGAGTCTGATAAACATAATATGCTATATATAAGTTGGAGTTTGATGAACATAATATGCACTATGTAATAGTTGGAGTCTGATAAACATAATATGGAGTCTATACATAAGTTGGAGTTTGATGAACATAATATGCACTATGTAATAGTTGGAGTCTGATAAACATAATATGCTATATATAAGTTGCAGTTTGATGAACATAATATGCACTATGTAATAGTTGGAGTCTGATAAACATAATATGCTATATATAAGTTGCAGTTTGATCAACATAATATGCACTATGTAATAGTTGGAGTCTGATAAACATAATATGCTATATATAAGTTGCAGTTTGATCAACATAATATGCTATATATAAGTTGCAGTTTGATAAACATAATATGCTATATATAAGTTGCAGTTTGATGAACATAATATGCACTATGTAATAGTTGGAGTCTGATAAACATAATATGCTATATATAAGTTGCAGTTTGATGAACATAATATGCACTATGTAATAGTTGGAGTCTGATAAACATAATATGCTATACATAAGTTGCAGTTTGATGAACATAATATGCACTATGTAATAGTTGGAGTCTGATAAACATAATATGCTATACATAAGTTGCAGTTTGATGAACATAATATGCACTATGTAATAGTTGGAGTCTGATAAACATAATATGCTATATATAAGTTGCAGTTTGATCAACATAATATGCTATATATAAGTTGCAGTTTGATCAACATAATATGCTATACATAAGTTGCAGTTTGATGAACATAATATGCACTATGTAATAGTTGGAGTCTGATAAACATAATATGCATAATATATAAGTTGCAGTTTGATCAACATAATATGCTATATATAAGTTGCAGTTTGATCAACATAATATGCTATATATAAGTTGCAGTTTGATGAACATAATATGCACTATGTAATAGTTGGAGTCTGATAAACATAATATGCTATATATAAGTTGCAGTTTGATGAACATAATATGCACTATGTAATAGTTGGAGTCTGATAAACATAATATGCTATATATAAGTTGCAGTTTGATGAACATAATATGCACTATGTAATAGTTGGAGTCTGATAAACATAATATACTATACATAAGTTGCAGTTTGATGAACATAATATGCTATATATAAGTTGGAGTTTGATGAACATAATATGCACTATGTAATAGTTGGAGTCTGATAAACATAATATGCTATATATAAGTTGCAGTTTGATGAACATAATATGCTATATATAAGTTGGAGTTTGATGAACATAATATGCTATATATAAGTTGCAGTTTGATGAACATAATATGCACTATGTAATAGTTGGAGTCTGATAAACATAATATACTATACATAAGTTGCAGTTTGATGAACATAATATGCTATATATAAATTGGAGTTTGATGAACATAATATGCACTATGTAATAGTTGGAGTCTGATAAACATAATATGCTATATATAAGTTGCAGTTTGATGAACATAATATGCTATATATAAGTTGGAGTTTGATGAACATAATATGCTATATATAAGTTGCAGTTTGATGAACATAATATGCTATATATAAGTTGCAGTTTGATGAACATAATATGCTATATATAAGTTGCAGTTTGATGAACATAATATGCACTATGTAATAGTTGGAGTCTGATAAACATAATATGCTATATATAAGTTGCAGTTTGATGAACATAATATGCTATATATAAGTTGCAGTTTGATAAACATAATATGCTATATATAAGTTGGAGTTTGATGAACATAATATGCACTATGTAATAGTTGGAGTCTGATAAACATAATATGCTATATATAAGTTGCAGTTTGATGAACATAATATGCACTATGTAATAGTTGGAGTCTGATAAACATAATATGCTATACATAAGTTGCAGTTTGAGTATGCAGTAGTTGAGTCTGAACATAATATGCACTATGTAATAGTTGGATAATATGCTATATATAAGTTGCAGTTTGATGAACATAATATGCACTATGTAATAGTTGGAGTCTGATAAACATAATATGCTATATATAAGTTGCAGTTTGATGAACATAATATGCACTATGTAATAGTTGGAGTCTGATAAACATAATATGCTATATATAAGTTGCAGTTGCACTATGATGATGAACATAATATGCACTATGTAATAGTTGGAGTCTGATAAACATAATATGCTATATATAAGTTGCAGTTTGATGAACATAATATGCACTATGTAATAGTTGGAGTCTGATAAACATAATATGCTATATATAAGTTGCAGTTTGATGAACATAATATGCACTATGTAATAGTTGGAGTCTGATAAACATAATATGCTATATATAAGTTGGAGTTTGATGAACATAATATGCACTATGTAATAGTTGGAGTCTGATAAACATAATATGCTATATATAAGTTGCAGTTTGATGAACATAATATGCACTATGTAATAGTTGGAGTCTGATAAACATAATATGCTATATATAAGTTGCAGTTTGATGAACATAATATGCACTATGTAATAGTTGGAGTCTGATAAACATAATATGCTATATATAAATTGGAGTTTGATCAACATAATAAGTTATAAATTAAGATTAATTGCAATGTTTTAAATTATATGTATTTATAAATAGTGTTAGTTTTCTATAAGAAATGGCAAATGAGGAGATTAGACTTTGTTTTCCTTAAGTAAAAAAGCTAAGTGTAAAACAGAAAGAACAAATCTATGATTTTAAAGTGAAATTCATCATGGTAGTCCAAATTTGCTGTTCCTGACACCGAGAGCATGGGTAGATAAAAAATTAAGACTGAACGTGTCATAATTTATATGACAGCTGTTTAAGATGTGAAAAACAAGTTTTCCTGTACAATGTGGCAAAAAAATAGGCTATTTCCTGAAATTATTGCTAATGATTCGCAGCAAAGCTACAGCAGTGTCATTAGGCGGAGCAGTAGAAAAAAAATACATTTTTCTGAAAACAGTTCAATGATTCCAACAGATTCTATTATAATTCTTAAATATATACTTCAAGTATTTTCAGTATAATACCAATAGAATTATTTTGACTAAGAATTGGAGTATTTTTGTTTTATAAAAGTGAAATTTGAAATGTCTTGCCTAAATCAAGATTTCTTGTTTCCTGTAAGTAAGGCAAGAGCCTGCTATGAGCCATAACCATATATGTCGTGATTTTGCCATGTTGATGTCATTACTAGAACTGCTGGTCAATGTCCAAACTGGACTAACGTTTAGTCCCTGAATATATAAAATCATGAAAGTAACAAATAAACCCATCTAAATTGAAAAGGAGCCCCAGTTAGATAGGAGATTCAGAACCTGGGGGAAATCCAGACTTGTTCATTTAGGGCTTTAGCATTGTAGGGAAAATAATGTGGTTCAGGGACTGTGAGACAAACAAAATCTGA